CTCAATTATTGTCTTTTTCCAGTGACTTCCTTTCCTCCTTCAAAAGTGAGTCACACATTTGTAATGAATGTTAAACTTAATTTTAAGAAATAATATCGTAAGTTCAAAAGTTTTAATATTCTTGAAAAAATCATCTGTTCAGGCATGCTCAAAAGGCAGTGTTTTTGAGAGACTGAAGAGGACACAAGAGGTGAATAACAATATTAACAATGCTTCTGTCAGTCACACTATGTTAATTGCACATGAATCCAATTATAGCAGTAACGGAAAATCATTTCGTAAGAACATAGTACAATTACCTATTAAGGAGACATCACTAGTGACTGCAGAAAATACCCTCTCACAAAGCTGTGTTTCCTCTTTGGATGTAGATGAAGAGAACTTAACATATGGCGAACAGAATGAAACACCAAATAAGAAACGCCAGACTAATTATAAGTGTGAAGATACTATGCAGCATGTTCCAAGTTCCTCTGTAGTTTTTCATGATTCTCCTGTGCAAACAAGACGCTTTAGTCCCCTTAAGTCTGGATTTCATCAGCGCGTTCTTTTTACTTCCCCAGCTAAAAATTCTGATGTTGGTAAGTTCTCCTATAAAATTTAATAATATAATTTTTTTTAAATGTATTATATTTATTTCTTTTTTAATATTGGTAAAGAAGATAAGATATCAAAAGTGGAAAAGCTATGTGAGAAAATATATGTTCGATTAGAAGAAATTAATAAGAAGACAGATAAAATTATTATGAATCAAGAAAGGCTCAACAAGTCTCTTTTAGTGCGATTATTTCAGTTCTTTTATCACATCCAAGGATGTAGCCAAATCTACTGTCAAAATTGCTGTAAAAGTTCTTACAAACTCTATGGCATCCACAATGAGTTTTAAAGGGCAGAACACAAAAAAACCCTTTTATAAATTGAAGATATGGGAGGCCATACAAGGTAAGAGTTATTCATGATATATTTTTTATATAAGTTGAAGTATTATGCAATTACCTTATTATTTAATTCTCTAAGAAAAAATAAACCAACATCATTGTGATCACATCAGAACAGATATTTTTCTTAATTACGTTTTGTGCTTTTAATTTGAGAGTGTGATTCCATATATTTGTTTCAGGTTCAATATTGATCAAATTTGATGACACAGTACTTTTCAAAGCAGAAGAAACCATGAAAACATGGTTGGCCAATGCTCCACGGCGTAAACAAGATAATGAAACTTACGGGAAAAAGTGTATGAAAAGAAAATTAGAAGTAAACACTGCAAAGTAGTTGGGCAAAATGTTTATGTTTTATAACTTTTTTTATTTGTTATTTCTAATATTTTTGACTAAGATAGGAGAAAAGAAGTTGTAATATTATACAATTATATATCTTTAAAAAGAATTTTTTAATTAGGCTCAGTTTTTCAATTAAAACTTTAAAATGATAATACACGCTTATTTATTGAGCCTTAGCTTGTTCTAGGTGCTATTTATTAATATATCTTACATATGATTGACGTATATCTTACATATAATTGTCGAACGTTTCGGCACCTTTTTTTGGGCCTTCTTCAGCGCTATAACGGATAAAATTTACATTCTTTTACTAATAAAAACTTACATATAAACTGACTACTTATAAATTTTTGGGTCTTCTTCGGTCCTATTACTGTTTTTACTTACAATCTAATTTTTGTTGCGTCTCTTAGTTAAAATTTAAACTGGTTGTTTTTGGTGTAGTTCTCTTTTGTCCATTTTTTATGAACTTTTTGTCCATCTCTTGCTTTTTTCAGTGTGTCAGACATGGCAACTGTTGATTTTTATTATTGGTTTAATGTTCTTAATTGACTGTAATTATGATTTCAATGTGTTATTAATCTTTATTTAATTAAATTGATTGTGCTGTTAGTCGTTCTCACCTTAATTCTTCTGACTGGCTGGATTGCTTTTTATTGGGACTTGTTACTTTGTGTGTTGTTCATTTCATACTAAGTCGTCTTGTCTTGTGAGATCGTTACTGATGGTATGATTATTTGTTGATTGGAGGGAGTGACCTCAGTGTAGGTAAGTAAGTATTTGGTAGGAAATCCGTATCACTCTGTTTATTTATTGCTTGTGTGTGTCTTTTTATGTGTATCATTTCTGATATTAACCGTTTTCTGTATGTTGGTTCCTTGTCTAATATTTTAACATTGTCCCATTCAAATTCATGGTTATACTCTATTTTATGCTCTGATATTACTGATAGTGTTCCCGTTTTTTTATTTATATCTTTACGGTGTTCTTTTATTCTGGTTTGTAATTGTCTACCTGTTTGTCCTATGTATGTGGCTTCACATTGACTGCAATTTATTTGGTATACTATGTCATTTTGTTTTTTGTGTTCTAATTTGTCTTTACCGGTTTTTATGTATGTATTTAATTTATTGTGGCAACTATATGAGGGTGAGAATCCGTGTTCTTTGATTTTTTTTTCTAGTTTCTTTGTGTCATTTTTCATGTATGGTATAGTGAGATATTTCTTTTCTTTTTCTTCCGTTTTTTTTGTTATGTCCTTTGTTTACCGTACTTTTTTTGTCGTTATTATATTTGTTAATCCTATTTCTCATGTTCTCGAAAATAAATTTTAGTGGGTAACCGTTTTCAAGTAATGAGTTTATTGCTTTATTAAGGTTGCTCTTGTGAAATTTGTGATGTGACAATGTTAAAATTCTATCTGTCATATTGCTAATGATTGCTCTTTTATGTTGTATCGGATGGTTTGAGTTAAAATTTAAAAATCTGTCTGAATTTGTGGGTTTTTGGTAGTGATTGAAAATTATTTTATTTTGTTCTGTTGTAATGAGGGTGTCTAAAAAACTAATTGAGTTGTCTGGTCTTATTTCTATGGTGAATTTCAGTCTGT